CTTCGCTCCACTTGGCTGTGAGATTGAGTTGGGAAGGGAAGAGAGAGGCTGAGCTTGACCCCATCAGCACACCCCACACAATGTGGCAGCTTATCTCTGGATGCATTTGAGTCACACACGTCCAACTAGGGCATGAAGAGGGCTTTGTGGCATCTTAACTTCTGTGTAGGCATTCTCTGAGAGAAGCATAGAATAATTTAGGTTGGAAAAGACTACTAAGATCACCTAGTCCAACTTCCAGCCCATCACCACCGTGCCCACTAATCATGTCCTCAGTGCCACATCCACACGGCTCTTGAATACCTCCAGGGATGGTGACTGCACCACCTCCAACATCACTCCTGTCCCAGGGCTGATCCTAATCAGGATGATGCTTGTGTGTGGATAATCTTGCACGTGCACATTTGTACACTGTTGTAATTATGGTTTCTATGTCACTGAGATGTGATTTTAAACAGAGTGTCTTAAATGAATTGAGGATGGGTTAGGTTTAAATATTTGGGAAATATAGTAACATCTGAGTTTCATTTACTTCTTCACAAAGGAAGTCATGAGAGGAGAAAAACCCTCAAAAATAGTTAAGTGAAATGATACAAGGTAATCAGTGTTGGAGGAGAACAAGTGACAGTCCTCTTTCAGAAAGACTGAGACATCTGAAGCAAAGGACTGGGTCTTAGAAGGGGATTCTCATAATCCCTTTGCATTTCCAACTTGTAGGGCAGGACTGTGTCCATCAAATGCTTTTGCCGTTTTGTTTGATCTAGCTGTGAATGAGACTGTTTTACAGCCTAATATATCTCCGTCAGAAGATAATTTCACACATGCTCATCAGTGAAATTAGTTCTTCAAAAACACATTTAGAGAAGTAAATGCCATCACTTTTCCCCTGTGCCAGGTATGGGGTTCAGAGCCAGATTGCTCCATCTCCAGCACCGTTACAGCACTGAACACAGGTAGCTCATTGTACAATATGGATTCAAAGCACAAAATCTAAAACACCACCCTTTCCCACTCCAGAATTCAGCTGTTTCAGACTATTTTTATATTGCGGGATGAGCACAGGACTCAGGAGGCATCAGCTGGATTCCTGATATCACTCGTGACACTCTCTGAGCCTCACTCACCCGCTCTGAAGCATGAAGAAGATTAAACTAACAAGTCTTGGTTTATATTTCTGAGATCCGTAGAAGGAAAATAGGGAAATCTCATCTATTTGGACCCATGGAGCTACTGTAACAACAATAACAATAAAAAAAAACAGGGGGGGGGGCTAGACTAAGAGTTTTGTACACAGCAGTTTTGCTGGTAAAAAATGCTATTTCATTTAAATGGAAACACTTCGGGTTGTGCTTTGTGACAGCTATGGTTCCTTTATCTGACAGAAAGAGAAGGAGGATGGTAGTAGGGGAAAGTGTTTTGATAAAGTTGAAATATTCTATTTCTATACTTCTAGAATGGAATGGTTGATGTTGTTTGTTTTGAAACTTCTTTGTCATAACTAAACATAGGAAGCAATCAGAAATCCAAACAAACCACCTAAAAATAGGCAGAATAAAGCCATGTTAAAATGAATGGTAAATGCTTATTCTTGTTCTGAGAAAAAATAAAAAACAACAAAAGCAGATCTTCCCACAAATCTGAAATTCTATTTCCCGCACAGCTAGAAATAAGCATATAACATTATATTTCTAATGCCTATACTTCCCCACTTAAGCATCACTGTGCTAACACACCAAATATTAAGCACATGTATACACTTTCTATTCAATAAAGTTGCTACGCAACACTCTGCAACAGACTCCTTCACTTCCGCACAGTGTGCTCAGCTGAAGTAATCTGCTTCCAAATGATGAATTGGTTACTAAATTGCAAGTGGGAACTGGAAGGCATCAAACACAATGCAGAGGCTATTCCTTGCATGAGATCAACGCAACAAGAACGAGCAAACCGAAGAGACATTTTCTGCTCCGACGTCGAAAAATGTAATAGCAGAAGTGAAAGAAATTCAAGTGATCAGATACGACTACAGACTCCCCGCTCTAAAGAGGGCAGAAATAAAACAAAAGCAGCCTCCCTCCAAACCTGGCGCAGGCAGAAAGGCCACGGCTCACCTAGCAACCTGCCGCGCTGTTGCAAAAGGACAACAACAATAAATGGAGGTAGAATTTCACCCCCAGCCCAGGACACAGGCATGCTCAGAGCAAAAAGCCTCTGACACAGACCTGAAGGCTGTTTTGTTTCTTTACACTTGTTTAGTGGCTTGTCACATCAGCTAACCGCTACAAAATTGAATCACGAGGCAGCAGGACCAGAAGCAATCTATAATTTGTTGTTTCATGCATTTTCAGGCAAAACCCCTAAAGGCAGCACTCCTGGGGCTGTAGTCAGGAAAGCAAGAGATAAACTGGAATGCTAATGAAGGTATGAAACATATTACAAAAAACAGGGCACTCATGTTTTCTCTGGTATTCTTTAAGTATACTTTGAGTGTAGGAATGATGAGGCAGGTCAGAGTAATAAACTGCTTCCAGAAATCTGAAATGCTCAGTAGCACATCCTACTGAGAATTACAAGAAATGCAATTAATTGCTGATAATTAGCAGCTAAGCATCAGCTCTGACCTTAAAGCAAGGGAGTCTGGAAGTCAGAAGGGTCACCGTGTGAACATCATCCCTTGGGCAATCCCCTTTTACTCACTGTGCCCACACTGAGTCTCGATCTGGGACTGGAAAGATTTCCCCTGGCAGCAAGCTTCACAGTCTAATTATTAACTGGGTGGAGAATGTCTTCTTTAATGGACATTTGCCACGGTGCTATACAATAATGGACACTACATTTGCCACCCTTTTGTTTACACACTCGATATCATTTTCTTCTTAGGTAAAAAAAATGATACGAAACCCTTTGAGATGGCCACTGGGGAATGCTAGGCCATGTTGTCCCATTGTGGTCACATGAACACGGCCGTGTATCTGTGTTTGGGATTATCCCCTGCTCCTCCCCAGATATGTGGAATGCAAGACCTCAATCCCGGTCTGCCTCCAGCTGTGTTATTTCCCTCTTTCTTTGCTCACACCTGCAACTCCTCCAGTTTGGTATCATCAGCACGTTTCACTAATAGACTTAGCTCTTTCCTCAGATCAGTAATGAAGAACTTTAAAAAGACATTAAAAAAAGATTTGTGGCCAAAGGTCCTATTAATTATGTTTGCCGTACCCCGCTGGGCACCTTCTTCCAATGCAGCACATTCCCATTTATCATAAGACTTTGTTTACAGCCTCTTTGCCAGTTTTCAACCCACAAGTAAATGCTTCCTTTCCCAGGGACTATGATATTTTTTTACTTCCTTTTTTTTTTTTTTTTTTTAATTAATAGCAGGATGTCTTTCTTCCAAAAACTCCTCTCCATATAACCGCAGATTTATGTAGCGAGAAAGATACATAAAGGTTTAACCACAGAGTGGAAATTAAAACATCATCAATTTCATACAGGTGGAGCTTTATACTGATAAAAGGAGCAGACAGACAGCTTCACGGTCAGGACACTCAGGAAATTCAATGGCTTGCACTCCATGGAGGTCAGCCGAGATGATTGAAAGCCTCTCCGGGACCTTCACATCTACAGAACAGGTCTCTGGTGGGCCAGTTCTGGTCTCGCCTACACCACTCCTCCCAGGCATAACACCTGTGAACAGAGGGATGACTCCAGCTGTTCCAGGGTATGAATAAGGATAAAACATGCCCCTGGCTTTTTGTCAGTCAAGCTTTGCTCCTGACCACTGGTGCCCAGCGATTGATATGCCTTTGGCAGATGTCTACAGGAGTCAGTTGGGTATCATTCAAGATGTTTCCACTCATCGTAAAGATTAAGTCTACCCTGATAACAGGGATCAGCCTTGAAGTGATCTCTGAGCACAGACTCACAGGACTCCCTAGGAAGCAGGGAGGAAAGGGAACTGCACAATAGCAGGATGGAGCTGCCTTGACACAACCAGCTGTGCATCCCAGAGGGATGAATAAGCCAATCTTCCACAGCATTCCCCTCCAGGAGAAATGGTCCCATGTTGTCACCCCCATGATGGACATATTAAATGCCTGAGTGTGTGGTTAGTGCCCAAAACAGCTGCTTTTCCACCTGTTCCCTTTCTGCCACATAGGGTGAGCAGGACTGTGCCTCAGCTCCTCAGTCACACTTTGTAACAGTCTCTGTCCCTGGCTATCGTCAAGAGATAAAAACACACCCAACAAGAGGGACAAGACTACTGTCTAGATGGGCATTGCATGGAGCTACACATTCAGATATCTGTCTTCAAATAAATGTCATTGTGAAAGTGACTTCGGCACAAAGAAAAAGGTGTATAATACAAACTAAGAGGACAACTGTGCAAATTTCCCCAGATCAGGGAAAGAAAAGGGAGAGTCTGAGCTCAAGAAAGGATTAGGAGAGCTCTGGCAAGGTCTTAGCCACTGCAGCCTGCCTGATTAAGAGATTATGGGGAAGAGCAAAGAAACTTCCTGTCATTCTGCGAGACAGAAAAACGTATGGAAGAAATGCCGAAAGTCTCATGGCTGCACACGACAGCTGCTGCCTTTGAACAGAGAAGAGCCAGAAACATGGAGTGAAACAGAAGGCTGAGGTCAGAGCTCCTACAGTCCCTGGACCTCAACAGCATGCAACCTGCCCACTGGCTCCCCTCCACCCACTTGGATATAACCAAAGCCTTCATCGATACCTCCTGTGTTTAAATAACAGTGGCAATGCCTGCTTACTCCCTCTAGGATTGCAGTGAGAGTAATGCTGACTTGAGAAAAAAGAGAGGCAGAGAAAGGAGGGATCAGGGTTCCCCCATGATGGGGAAAAGCTTGCACACACCCATGCAGCCCCCATTCATTTAGCAGCTAAAGCCAGCATGGAGAACACCACCACACAGAGCCTCACTGGTCATGTGTTCACCATGTACAATCCCAGCTGGCCATATATGAGAGGCAAGCATGACTTACTAGGCACACGGTTGATAGCTTTCAGGGGTCTCAGGACGCGGACAGTACGGATTGCAGACAAGTTAATGTTTTGGAGATCCAGAGAGTACTCCACCATCCTGCAGAAGAAGAGAGAAAGAGTTTAAACAACCCAAAATCTTGGCTTGAAGTACAGGGTAGGGTTGTACACACAGTCAGTGTGGTGCTGAATTTCAGTGCCACTCTGTAAAGCTCTTCTGTAGGTGTTCTGAGTGCAGGATGAGGTCCCTGAAGGAGGCTGGTATTAACCTGTTTTACCTCACGTAGAAGTAAAACCCTCTACTTAAAGAGGTAGCATTTTCAGCTAGGGGGGGGCGGCTTCTCCTGTAGCTGTGAATCACTCCTTTTTGTCAGCAACCAAAAGAGAACAATCCTAATTTTAGGACATATGCTAGACCTCGGTTTTTCTAACCCAACAGTATGCTCCCTAAATAACCTCGCATTGCAAATAACTATGACTAATGTGTTGGCTTTGCTGCGTGAGAAGCAGGTGCAGGTTACAGAAGTGACCTGGCTCAGCATCCCTTAGCCCAGTGCTCCTCTCCTTGCCCAGTATGGCAGATGCCCAGGTAACTTGTCTATCTCTGGGAAAGCACTAGGAGATGCAGGATTCTAATAACCATTTACCTTGGCCAGCAGAATCCACCTGAGGATCTCAAATTATTTTGCATGAAGAGCTAAAGTGATGCTGAGAGTAAAATGGGGCTAAAGTCACTCCATGAGAAATATCAGGGAGATGACTTGAGTGAAACTTTTGGATTGTGTGCATGCAGCCCTCTGTCCAGGGCAGTCAGCTCTCCTTTCTCACAAGCACTGACTTCTCTCCTCTTTCAATTACAGATTGACTTCCTCACAGTCTTTCTCCGCATCTTGACTCTTACGTTTCTACAGACTGCAGCAGCGGACTGATCCTTCCATTGATCACCCTCTTGACTAAAAAGGACCTTGAAGAGCAAGTGTCAAGTTATCTGTCTACACCTTTCGCAAAAGGGACTTGTCAGAGTGATAGATTTTCAAACACAAAAGGGTAAACCTGTCGAAGTGTTGTGATTATTCTCTCTCATGCTCTTTTTCTTTCTCTCATTCCTTTCACTCTATTCTCTCATAGACTTTTAGGGTAATTGCATGAAATAATTCTTCCTCCCTAATGCAGTGGCATTCATTTACCACCCTGGAGCTGTCAGTTCCACATACACCGAATGCAGAAGCAGAGAGGAGGGATTCCATGTAAGTAATCAAAATGTTCACACACACAAGATGCAACCAAAAAGATACCAAACCCAGAAGAAAGATACAGATAGCCTACAGAAAAATTAGTGATAGACAGAGGCTCAGGATATTGTCAGCTGAAACTGGGAAGTGAGTAATGAAATGAGAAAGAATACGCAGTGTTATGCATACACATACACAACTAAATGGCATCACACAAAAGAGATGAGGTGCAAATGAGCACAGTGCAAAGGCCCTTGAGTGAACACTGATCAGCCTCTCTACAAAAGCATAACACAAGATTGCCTCGTCAGTGAGATGTTGCTCCAAAATCAGACATATCTTGGATGGAAATACATTTAAAGGAGAACGATGTACAGACATGGTTGTATTGCTCCCAGGACTTGAGTTAACATCTTGTCACAGCAACAGAGATCTGACATATTAAGGCAGCTTCATGGCTGAAGGAGTCTATGCTGTGGTCCCTTACAATAGATAGATCCATGCACAGAAACATACAGGTCTCCAAACTTGATGAAGTCTCACAGAAGATTCTTCTCTCTTGTAGAAAATCATGTCCCCAAGAGAACCAGACTGAGGTCAGAACTCAGTAGGAAACAGAACAATCTGAACATGTTCTGTCAGATACCATACTAGCAAATCACCCCGAAATATGTCTAATTTTGAGAAGTGGTCATCTTTGAACTGCAAGTGACCAAATTAAAATTCCTGAAGAACATCATGACCTGTACAAAACTGGAGCACAAGGGAACAGCGCTGAGTAACACTGAGAAAAGATCAGTAAGCAGAAGTAGTATCTTTCCTTAGACTCAATAATGCACAGTTCAATTAAAGGCGTAACCTATTACCAATTTGCATGGGGTTTGCCCTCTTGTGGCTACAGCTGTATTGCTGGTATTGTTATGGGAGAACCCTTAGCCATGTGCATGTACTAACCCTACCAAATGAAATGAGCTTGCCACCTATGTGACACAATCCCCGTGTTACTGGAGAAGTGATAATCACCAAAATAATAGATGCAGATCCTTTTGAAACAAGATGAATGCTGCCCTAGCTGCAGCTGTTCAGTTCAGACAACTGGAGAGCCAACCTCCCAGATCCCTCGAGGCCTGCAGATTTGCTGCACTTGTGTTCCCGTTTAGCTAGAAAAAGCATGGAACAGTCAATCGCTCTGCCAATGAAAACAGCAGGCAGTTCCCTAGGATGGGTCAGAGAAGGGCAACTCTTAAATTTTTCAGTGAGCAACTTCTAACAAAAATGAGTTCTGCCCTAGCAGGCCCCAGGACTTCTGCTCATTCAGCAGACCTTTTCTGCCTACGGTTCTTCCTATGCCTCTGGTCTTGGCTGTAATAATGGAAAGATATCCAAGATGCTTAAACCCCTGTAAATTGGTTATGCCTATTACAGCTATGTAAATCACATCCAGAACAACTCCAGTTCAACTCCATTGCAATTATTGCAGTAGGGTCATTCATTCTTGCCTTTTCATAGCAATACCTATGAGTCTGTGCTCACGCTTAGCTTTGCACAAGAGTAGCATGCTTGTACAACAGCGGACTGGGATGGCTCCAGTGATCAGCAAAACAAACAAACAAAGAATTCTCTCTGTAGGCAAAACCTGTAAATCCAGATGTTACCTCCTTCCTCTATTGAAACAAGATCTCTGACTCTGGGCAACATTTCAGGAATTGTCAGCCCAGCTGCATTTGCTCTTGCCTTTCTCCAGTCAGCTCTCTGCTGCTTGGAAACCCAGTACGTACATGCAGCCTCTCTAAGACTGGGCTCATACCACATGTGGGAGATGGCAATGGATAGGCAGCAAGTTAAAAGTGGGTGTCACAAAAAGTGATCAGCCAGGAGCAGACTTAGAGCAGGAGGGTCACATTTTCCCAAGTCTGTGTATCAAGATCTTGTGATAACAGAATCATGGAATCATTAAAGTTGGAAAAGACCTCAGACCATCAGTCCATCACCACCATGCCCACTGACCATGTCCCTCAGTGCCACATCCACGCGGATCTGGATCACCTCCAGGGACGGTGACTGCACCACCTCCCTGGGCAGCCTGTTGCAATGCCTCACCACTCCTTCTGAGAAGAAATTTTTCCTAATATCCAACCTGAACCTTCCACGGTGCAACTTGAGGCCGTTACCTCTTGCCCTAAGTTGCAAGCCCATGGTGCTTATCCGGATTCTCGGGCAGGCACCAAACTTTAGTGCTTCAATCTCTATCGCTCTAGCAACTCAGGGAACCACACATTTACTGAGTGTTCACTAACCAAGAGCATAGCAGTGTTAAAGCCCATTCAAAACGGTTGCAACCTTATTAAATCACAGGAGATTTCCAGCCACCTCATCCTCACACCTGTGGAGACTTGGATTGGATATTAGGAAGAATTTCTCTGCAGAAGGAGCGATGATGCATTGGAACAGGTTGCCAAGGGAGGTGATGGAGTCACTGTCCCTGGATATGTTTAAGGAAAGGGTGGGTGTAGTACTTAGAGACATGGTTTAGTGGACAATATTAGTGATAGGTAGATGGTTGGGCTAGATGATCTTAGAGCTCTTTACCAACCTTCATGATTCTATGGGTTCTCAGCATGGTGAGCAAGAGCAGACCCTATAATCTGACTGCCCCTCATCTCTTGTCCCCTGTTCCCTAGCTGCTTTAGGTACACATTGTTTGTAAAAAGCTTCATTCTTTTTTTATTCAGAGGTAGCTGGACAAAGTCTTGGATGCAGAATAGCTTGTGTGGGTTGCGAGCTTCCTTTCCTCTTATGGGGCAGAAGTGGAAAGCATCTCTCTCAAGGGAAATGGCAGCTCATTTCTAGAACCACTAAAGTATTTTGTGGCCTCTGGCGTGGGTTGGCGAGCACAGGGGCAGGTTAGGAAGCTGGAACTATGCTAAATTAGAGAGCAGCTCTTGATCTGTGATGGAATTTGAGCAGTGAGCTGTCAAGATAATTGAATTTATACAGTAATTCTTCTTCCCTCGGTAGAGATTTGCTTCTTCAAAACTTTCTGCGAGAAACTCTCCTGGAAGGAAGGAGGATTGAGACACTCACTGTCCCTGCATTGCACAGCTCAAGACTGATGCATGGTGAGAATGCTACCATAGTGGGGAATAGGACAGAGGCACCAGCTGTGTACATGGGATTCACCCCACAGAACAGGAAGATGTCTGGTGGGGAACACCTCTCCCTTTCAACTCTGCCTCTCCTCATTCTCAAAGCATCCCATGCCCTCTCTACCCCATCTCTCTGACTCATTCATGCCTCCAACATTTCCACATCTCCTTTTAATCCTTCTGGCCCTCCTTAACTTACAACTTCTCTGTTTGACTTTCCCTCTTTTTTTTTTCTGCTTTACATCATGCATGTCTCCTTCAATTCCCTTGCCAATCCTTTATTTCCTTTCCAGTCTCCATCTTTGTTCCTTTTGCACCTTTTCCTACTGACCTTCTTAATGGGGCCTCCTTCTACTTAGTCTCTGTCTTGCTGATAAACATTAGCCTATATCTAATCAGCTCTGCTTAGCTGAATACACAAGAGACCTTGACTTTAACTTAGATGAGTCCAAACTACCACAAGGGGACAAGCCAGCAATTTGTTAGCGCAGCGACCCTGTACAGAAAGCACCTGTCCTGGAGTACCTCCATTCCATGCCAAGCAGTGGAAGAGACAGAAGGTACCTGAGAGGCAAGGGGGCATGCACCCAGCACAGCACCACACACCCACATTGCTCACAAGAGCTCGACCATAGCAGAAAAGCTTCATTAGCCACAGCTTGGCATCTGCCAGCAGGTTTGGATCTGCCTTGGCACTCTGCTTCTTGAGCAGCGATGAAGCC